AATGACTTTTACATTTTTCCTATTGTACATTTAATATTTTTTCTGCATGCCCATTTATCTAATAGTGTTTTATTTGTATTTGTATTGTCTATCTTCTTTGTGCCGTAACAATGTACATTTCCCCTCTGTGGGAGGAATAAAGGCATATTCTGATTCAGATTTTAAATCCTAAGGATCCTTCTTTGGAGATTCTGCCACCAACACCATCACCCACTTTTAATGTATAGTCAATTATACATTTTTAATACATCTGATCTTGTAATGGACCCAAGCTACTGGAATAACAAACCACTTCTATTAAGAATACCTCTTAGTCACTTGCAACTCCGCTTTATTTCTGTGTATGAATTGTATGTTGTACTGTGTGTCATTTTATCTTATTTGCTAGTGTCAAAGACACATTTCCATTTTTTGTAAATGAAATGGATAATGAAGTATTCTGAATCTGAAATTAAGTTTTAGGTAAATTGTAGAATTTAGAAAGATAAATGAAAAAATCAAACAACTTTAAAACAATAGTTTGGATCACTTTTAGCTAATTATGTAGAAACAGTTATTTTGCTTAAGAAGAGAGAACGTGCCAGAGTTTTATCTTTAATGTCAATGTCCTGTATGTCTCCCTCTCAGCTGATAAAAGAGATGAGCCTCTCCAGACAGCGAGCCGGAGACCTGGTGAGCATCTATGATCAGAGTTTGGAGCAGCAGATCGTGGGTCAAGGCTCCAGCCTGGCCTGTGGAGATGAGGACCTGTGGAGGCAGGTGGAGGCCCTGCTGAAGGACGGAGAGGCTCAGGAGACACACTGCCTGGGGGTGGACCCGCTGAGGGTGATGGAGGAGTCGCTCACAGCAGCACCAGCAGGCGGGGCGGCGCGACTCAGAGCCAGAGCAGGGCTGAAGGGCCTGGCCAAAGCCTTCGAGGTCCTGGAGCAGGCGGCCCTGAACCTGTACCTCGGTCACTGGAGGGCCGAGTACAAAGTAGTCAAGGTTAGATCTGAGGAAACAATGGAGTCATGTAGTTCATTTCTGCATTTGTTTCTTAAAATGTCCCACCACTCCATGATTATTTATACAGTGGTGCAGGAATGAGTCCTAAAGCCATGAAATGAGTAAGCATTTTAGCACCTCGTGTGAGAACTCAACCGATATTTGAAGGTGTTTTTTTCGATGCCTGAAATAAGGTCTGTGATTAACACAAGCTGAAGAGATTTTGGCGTTTTTTTCCGTGACATAAAATAGGTCCGTAAATACCCCAGTGGTGAATGTCTTTTACGTCTTATTAAAAACAACGGTTGCTAAAGAATGACTAAATAAGCCATCACGCTGAACATTAGCCACCTTTAGCTTTAGCAGTCGTGCTTTGAAGTCATGTGACCATGCTGTAGTTCCTTTATAGACTAATGTTAGCTTTTTGCTTCTGACTATATGATATTTTAGGCGTAAATGACAAAGTGGTTTTAATTTGTGGAGGTTATCCTGCTGAACAAAATGTGTAAGTTTCATAGTAAACGTGTGTTTGCCAAAGATCTTATATGTTGCAATATTCCAAAAAGGAGAAGTCCCATTGGTTTTTGTCATGCTAACATCTGGGATGGCCTGCACAAATCACTGCACCCTTCTATTCACTTATTATTTATTAGTCCAATGTCTTTTCAACACTGACAAGAGTGAAATCTTTAATGGCACTTGTCTTTTCGCATGCCAGATGAAGATAGATTGATAGATACTTTATTGATTCCTTTGTTACAGCAGCAATGTGTTCAGGTATTAAAATATTTAAGAGATGGAATAAAGTCTAAACATAATAAAATCAAATAGAACATAAACAGCAAATATATCCATGTCTACAGTAGAAAATACATGAATCACAAAAGACACAATATAACATATTCTGAATAAATTAGAATCTTCTCTAAAAGACCAATATACTACAGCAGTAGAAATGTAGACATCACATATACACATAAGGGGGTATATCAATCAAATAACAGTTGTGCAAAAATATAAACTCATTTTCTTCTTGTCTCGTGTCCCAGATGTACTCCGGTCTGTTCACCCACTACATCAGGCCGGTGCTGTCCCTTCCTCAGATAGAGGAGCTGTTCGGGCTGCTGGGGTACCAGCCCAGCCCCCGCGCGGAGCAGCTGCGCCTGGCCCGGGTCTCCGCTGCCTCCCTGGACCGCCTCCTGGCTCTGTCCTGCGCCTTCTTCCTGGCCCGCTGCGAGTGTCGCCTCCTGCTGGCGGCTCTGGGGCGGCACGCTGGCGAGGCCCAGTGGGAGCTGGGGGTGGTGAGGGAGAGGCAGAGGGGACACAGCCTACAGGTACGTCTGCTGTCTCTAAAATCTATATTCTTTTGGGGTGAGGTCTTTATTTTCTAATGAAGTCGTTCAGCTCTCTGGTGGAGATGGAATCTGTCCTCTCTTGCTCTGTTCAACCAATCTCATGCTGTGCTGACAGACATTGTATTTATGTTGGAGTAGTTCCCACAATTTCCAGAGATGGG